CTTTCCCTTCTTCATGGAACCATCTTTCGTTCTCCTCCAACCCACCTACCCGCCACCTCAAAATAGCTCTTTTCGTCAAACGCTGGCCTCGTCAGAACCTCGCCGGCGGCCTCGAGCGCCACGCCCTCACTCTGCACCTTGCACTTGCCCGCCGCGGCCACCATGTCCATGTCTTCACCACCAACTCTTCCTTCCCCAACTCCTCCATTCCTTGGTATTCCAATGCATCCCTGACATTCCATCCAACCCAGCCGAGCCCCGGTGGCTACCTCAACCAAGCTCTCGTATTCAAGGAATTCCAGATTCAAAACTCCACCGGCAGGCCGTTCGACATAGTCCACACCGAAAGTGTCGGTCTTTTCCACGGCCGTGCTCGGAATCTCACCAACCTCGCCGTCTCATGGCATGGCATCGCCTATGAGGCCATCCACTCCGACATCGTCCAAGACCTCCTTCGAGAACCCAATGAGCCCCGCCACTCTGCTTTCACCGCTAAGCTTGGTAAAGTCGTTGAGGAGGTCAAGTTCTTCCGCAATTACGCCCACCATGTAGCTACTAGTGATCACGCTGGCGACGTCCTCAAAAGAGTCTACATGATTCCAGAAGAGAGGGTTCATATCATCATCAATGGCGTTGATGAAGAAATCTACAAGCCCAAGCCTCGGAAAATCAAGACTTTCAGAAGTAAGTTTGGAGTCCCTGAAAGTGCCCAACTTGTGATAGGAATGGCGGGGAGATTGGTGAAAGACAAAGGCCATCATTTGATGTTCCAATCTCTGAAAAAGGTGTTCATGGAAGATTCAAGGTTCAACAAAAGTGTCTTCTTTCTGGTCGCTGGGGATGGGCCATGGGCAAATAGATACAAGGATTTGAACCCAAATCTGATCATTCTCGGTCCTCTGGATCAAGCCCAGCTTTCTGAATTCTATAACTCACTCGATGTCTTCGTAAACCCAACTCTCAGAGCGCAGGGATTGGACCACACCTTCATTGAAGCGATGCTTTGCGGGGTGCCTGTAATGGGAACCCGCTTCGCAAGCATCACTGGCTCCATCATTGTGGGTTCAGAAGTTGGGTACATGTTTCAGCCGACTGTCGACTCACTAAAAGAATCGATTTTTACAGTTTTTGGGGATGGAGTAGCTGTTCTTAGGAAGAAAGGGGAATATGCCAGAAACAAAGCTATTCATCTCTACACGGCTACAAAAATGGCGTCGGCGTATGAAAGATTGTTCATTTGCATCAGTGACTTTCATTATTGTAAGTACCCACTTTTGGGAGATAGGGATGAGGAAAAAATATCACGTTCAACATCCGGACGTAGAGTTACATCCGGAAACCAATAAAACAATGACACATGACCAGATTTATTAAACCACCAGAATAACGTCGACATCTGAATATGAGCCTCACATAAACCTGACCCGAAATAAAGAATACAACAAGAGTATCATTTACCCGCGCATAGCCTGAGCTCATCTTTTTACGACGAACTGGTGACATAATTATATATTTGAGCGACATTGTTATCACCTTCAAAAGAAATCAATCTTATAGGTACTAAGGTCGGTCTTAGTTCAATTGCGTTCCTCCCAGTCTGAGCATTTCACTAACCAGAGATGTCCTAGCTCCAGTCTAACATTCTCGTCACCACCAGCAGAGCCAATCAAATTTTAAGATAATAAAGTTTTAATTTTTTTTGGCAGTGTGAGCAAATTGTATTGGTGATAAATGTTGTATTTTGATTACTTGAGAAAACTCTTACATAAAACTCCATGTGATCTAAAAGCAGATGTTTATGATGTTTCAAGTACATTTGTTGGAATACTCTATGTAATACTCCATTTGAGTTGCTAATTTTTAGTTGTATTTTGGGTGTGTATTGCCTGAATTGTGAATGATTCTCATGTACTTATATTATGTTTATCAAATGAAAAATATATGATGCTTTAAGCGGTTTTTGTTAAGAAATTGATCATTTCAGGCTTTACTTTGGCAGTGTACTGGAAATTACTGCCTGATTTTTTTAGGAAAATGCATATTGTATCGTTTTATGATGATGAATAAAACTTTTATTGTGTTTTGGGTTATATTTGATAACTTCTTGATTTTAGGAAAAAATTGTGGATTAATCTACCAATTAGTGCTTGAAACCTCAAGTAAACTTGCATGTAATCCTCTAATAATGCTGAAATGAGATTTTTATAATGTTTTAGGTTCTTTTTGTTAAGAAATGTGAGGATTTTAGGCAAAATTTGGGTGGTAAACTAGAAGTGTACAATCTCATTCCTAACGAAAATAAGTATGTAATCTTTGATGAAGTTGAAATTAATGTTTTATGGTGTTTTAGGTTAATTTTATTTCATATATTTTTTTTTTCAATTTAACCTATATTTTATCAGTAAATTGGGAGTATACTGCCTCAATCCTGAAGAAAATTTTTAAGTAATTCTATAATAATGCTGAGATTTTTATGATGTTTAATTTACATTTCTTTAGAAATATTATGATTTTAGGCAATTTTTGAGCACTAATGTAGAAGTGTACTGTCAGACTTCTGAAGAACAACCTATATTTTATTAATTAATGATGCTGAAATAAGGTTTTTCTAATGTTTTAGATTAACTTTATTTAATAATTTTTTTTATTTTTTATTATAGTAGGGCAGTGCAATCATGGTTTACTGCCTTGATGATGAAGTAAATGCATATGCAATCCTCTAACAATGTTGATATTTGATATTGATGACGTTTTAAATTACCATTGTTTAGAAATATGACAATTTCAGACAAATTTTGGGCAATACATTTGGAGTGTATTCTGCCATATGACTGATTGTATTGATAGTTTTTACTGATATGATATATCATGATACTGTATATGTTTTACTATGATTGGTACATGAAAAACACCACATATGAGTATTCAGATCACCTAACTTGTATAGTACATGTGAGATGATAGTTGTGCTTGATGATATGCTTTTTTTTATATAGCTACTATTGTGATTTGATATTATATTATGAGTACATGTCTTATAGTATACATATACGTATTTAATGACCTACAAACTTATTTGCTTAGCATACATAATATGATTATAATGCAATCATGCATATTGTTTTATTTTTTTGCATTGATTTCAGTTGTACATTTCGTGTAACCTACTTAGCTGTGGATGCTCACTCTTATTACTTACATGTTTTCAGAGAATGGAAAGGATCCAGTGGAGTGAACTACTAGTATTTGCTAATAGAGACATATATTATGTGTATTTAGTGATTATAATATATCTGTATTTTTTGCTGGAATTATTATAAAATCATGATCAATGTATATAAATATTTTGGATGTAAATAGTTTTGATGTATATATAAAATTTAAAATGATGATGATATTTAGCCTTATATTTATAATATTATCGGTGACTAAGTGGCTTTGTGTGATGAAAATTAGAAGAAAAAAGAAATTCCTTCAAATAGATCTTAGGCTAAATAATTTGTTGCACAATCAACTTGGTATAATCTATTACCGTATAAAGGTAATATCAGGTCGGGTCGTGACAATAAGACTAATCGCACAATTACTGACATTATTCATCATTAAACGATTGAACTAAGCATGTATGCGAAAATAGACAAGCAAAGTTGAAGTAATATAAAGCTATAAAGTTCAATATTCACAAATACTCTAAACAGTACAGCCAACCACATAGGTCCAGAATCATACCTAGCCAACACCTCAACTTAGCAAAGTATGAAAAACCTTAAGATACATTCCTCTTTAACAAGGGGGGCCAAATCCAAAAAGCTTGGGATAAATATACAAACCAACCTAGGCAAGAGGTGTCAAATCGAGCTTGGCGGTTGGGTTACCCGAAATTGACTTGAATATTAAATGGGTCAGAAAAACCAACCCAAACATGACCCGCCTTTAACAAAGAGTAATAGCTATTTTGGTCGATTTCAAGATGATTTTGGGTCAATTTTTAGTTTCAAGTAAATTTTGTGTTATCATATCAATCTAGGATTGGTGGGTCAACCCAAATCTGACACGAAAAATTAAACAGGTTAGGATTCCTAATCAAAATCCGACTAAATAATTATCAAGGCCAGCCCGAACCCAGATTTTTCAAGTAAAGAAGGCTTGGCGAGCACATTATTGACCCCCGTAACCTAGTCTTCAATCTCCACTAAAACACTTCACCGAAACAAGTCATTTACTTTAGCAGGTTCAATCACTATAAAACACTCCACCGAAACAGTTCATTTGCATTAACAGGTAAAATTTACAGTGAAAAATGAAACCAAAAAAATGAGTGAAAGTATCCACCATGAAAAAAGTTGAATCTTGATAAAGCACATCCATGTCAACTTTACAAAAAAAATATCAAGATTATCAATTTTCCAACATCAAATCAGCCAACCCCCACCCCCACCCCCCCCCCACCCCCTCCTTCAGTTCTAGTATGCCGTTTGCGATTATTTATATCTGCGTTGGTTGATGATAACACTAGCAATAACAAAAATAGGATTGTATCACACATGTAAAGGTCAAGAAATGAAAATTGCATTTTGACCCGAACTTTTGCAAGAAAAACAAGTAATTTAGGTTTTAATAAAAGTCCAATGCCATATGAGTAATCTATTTTTTTTTATTTGAAATACGAGACGAGCACAATTGTTAAAACATAGAGGATAGACCTACAACAAATGCTAGGTTGTCTCTGGTGTGACTCGAAGCTCAATGCAAATTGCAAGACAATAGTTCAATTTAGAAAAACAATCACCAATGCAAAGGTTCTTTTCATTTCCTAATGTAATACAAACTTACGCCCCCAATTAGTGCACCTATATTGAACAGGAATTAGCTGTTCTCCATGGTCGTCTCATTAGAATCAGAGTCACTAGCATTATAACCTGAAAATTAAAAAAAAAATTCAGCAGAATAATCAACGCAGGATAAATGATGCTCCTAATTTGAGGGAATTGTAAAGAAAAATCACAACAAGCAACATTTTCTGTACTTAATATTTCAAACCTAAACTTTCATATTTACACACAAACATAAATGTTTAATATCACATCAAACATAGCACTATTATCACTTTTTAAAAGTGAAATACACATTTTCAAGCATAGGTTTAAAGCACCGAAGTGCTATGTATGTAAATATGAAAGTATAGGTGTGAGATATGTAAATACAGAAGAATTGCGTTCTATGTATATAAATTTCCCTTTTTTAATTATAGGTGTGAGATATGTAAATACATAAGAATTGTGTTCTATGTATATAAATTTCCCTTTTTTTTATTTTAGACATTTCGGAAATGAGAAATCTAGCCTACAAACAGCTCTAACCTGGATGCTTCTCGCTAACCTTCCAAACAGAGGACCGGTGTCTTGAAGCTTTCGTAAACCATGCATTAGCCTAAAAAACAAATTAAACACAGGGTTGGAAGAGGCAAAAGCTTAAGAAAGAAAGTTTAAAAAAAAAACACCATGACATGAAAAGAAAGTGAAGAATCTTATTAAGTGTTGCCAAGAAGAGAATGATTAGGTGGTTGAGTGGCTTTACACATAGAGACAAAATGCGAAATGAATATATCCGCAATAGGGTTGGTGTAGCTCCAGTGACTGACAAAATTAGAGCGAGTCGTCTTAGATGGTTTGATCACATTAAACGTTGACCATCTGATGATCCGATTAAGAGAGTAGATGTTTTAGATTCGACTTATGCTAAGAAAGACAGAGGCAGAGCTAGGAAGACTTGGGCTTATTGTATAAAAAATGATCTTAATTTATTAGAACTAAATGAAAATATAACTCTAAATAGGACGCAATATTGAAAAAGGATTCATGTAACCGCCCCACGTAGTGGGATTAAGACTTTGTTGTTGTTGTAGTCAAGGAAACAACTGAACCCAATAAAATAAAATAAAAAACATCAAATATCCAAACTAAAGGCAGCAACATAATTTCTCTTTCATCATTCAATTCGCATTCCATTCATTATTTTTAAAACAATCTTTATGACTGGTTGTGCAGCTAAATGTACCATCAGCCTTTCTTACCAAATCTCAAGTAGAACTGGCAAATCAAGTAAATTCATAATTTTAACTTAATTTCTCAGCAATTCTACAAACTTAATCCCAAGTTCCCCTTTGCCCTCATATCAGAAACTAAAATAACTCAACAAAAGAAATAGGACACATTCTTTTTCAAATACAATAGATAGTACCTTCCATATGCTAAAAGAATTTTTTACTGATTACTTCTCGGACTGTCGGACAGATAAAAAAAAAGAAGATTTACATATGACAGCAAAGGAAATCCATCATGAGCAGAGCTTCATTTCCACGTCTCTTTGCTTAACTTTAAATGCATTCTAAAATCAGCCAAAACTTGAGCTTAATAATGTGTTCTAACCCAAAACTTGTATTTCCAAACTTTTAGTATGATCCCTATGAAACTTCATATGACAAAACATGCCGGTGGTCACTATGTGTGGCAAATCAAAATAAAAAGTAGAATAAATGTATGCCTTTGGCCTAAAAATAGGCAAAAATGTGCACACATGTAGTTTAATTTATGTGGATGTGGACCTCTAATGCATAACAATATAAATATACAGAACTATTTTCATGCAGAAAAAAAACAAGGGATGAGAATTTTAAAGGCCAAATGAAGTGAAAAGTTCAAGCGAAATTTAATTACTTTATAACCTGAAAGTTCAACCACTTACTACAAAACCATGACAGAGCATGCATAACTACACTTTCATATGTAGGATTGTCCAAACAGTTCATTGTTCGCGAACAACTCATGTTCAACTCGTTAAGTAGATTGTGTTCAATTCGTTTGTCAAGGTAACAAGTTGAACACAAATTTGCGCTTTATATATAAACAAACAAAATACTAACAAAGATTTGTTTGATTTGTATAAAGTATTATTTTTAAATAATTTATTTGACCACAAGAAAACAAAGATTTATAATCAATTAAAATTATTAATTAAAAAAAATAAAAATATATTAAATTCTATTTAAATGAATATTTTCATATAAATAATAAGATTCAAATCTCGCCCCCGCCCTTAACATCCTACGCTGCATGACTAGGACTGTCAAAATGACTTGTTCGCAAACAGCTTGTGCTCGATTCACTAAACAAATGAGCCGAACACAAAAAAATTTTTTGAGCTTGAAATATAAACGAGCTGACACGAACAATGATAGTTTATAGCGAGTTAAACACAAGCCGAGCGTGAGCTCGCTTAAGCTCGACTCATTTACCCCCCTATTCATATCCACTAAAACACATGCACGGAAAAGAACTACTAAATTCAAACAAACCTAACAAGAAAAAGAATAGAAAGACTTACATGGATACCACTCAATTCTTATGTATTTTCGTATCCAATAACACGGAAACTTCAATTTGTACATATATGTCACCTTACATGTGTATTAAAAGATGTATTTCACTAGTGGTATGTTTGATGTGATGTGAAAGATGTGGGTGATATAAATATAAAAAGCAAATTTAGGTATTAGATATGTAAATACATAGGAATTAGGCGGCATGTTACATGTATGTAAATGCCCTAAAAGAATAAAGCACCCAAGATTTTCCAGAGCATGTAGTCCTGTTCCTGAACCTCAAAAAAGTATTTCCAGACCTTAAAATTTGTTTATTTCATGCTTCCATCCTCAAAAAAAGATCGGAAAAGCTGAAAGAGCGAGATCTTGCTCGTTTAAAAATTCAACAAAGAAATTTCGTAGAAGAAACCCTCCACTTTGTAGCAATTGGAACCGATAGAATCCTCTAGCCCAAATTCTTCACTATATTATGGGATTCCCATCAAATCAATACAATAAGAATTGCCCAGCAAATTCTTCAAACCGGAGTGCAGAACTCCAAGAACCAATCATCCCATCACTCAAGTCTCAGCAAAACATATAAATACAGTACGCCATAATAACACCGGGGAAATGGAAATCAAACGAAGCCTAATCAATCATGATTCCTAGAAGATAAACCCTAAAACAGAACAAGTCCATACTAATCGCACCTTCTGTTCATTCCGAGGAACCCCATAGCCGCTCTGGTACATCTGGCCAACAAGAACCTGCATCGTGGCATCACCGGCCTTGGCTTCCTCTAAGGTATCCCGAAACCACCGGCGAACGCAATCCGCAACCACATCCGAGAGCGGCACTCGCCCTTCCCGTCGAGCAGTCCCCACCAGCGGCTTTTCCATCCCCCGCCCCACCGGCACGCAGCGGCTTCGCCTCCGAGAATCGGGAACAGGCGGGCGAACTGTTGAGGATAAGCACCAAGAGACCGCGCTCTCTTAGAAGATAGGAAGATTTACATTCATGCCCCTAAATTTTTTGGTATTTATAAATGCAACACCTTATCCATGATAATTTAGGGCCCGTTTGGGGCAGCTTATAAGTGCGGGCGGCGTTTTGAAAACGCCGTCATACCGTTTGGTTCGCACTTTTTGGTAGATTATTTAAAACAGCGTTTTTTATTTCCTAAAACACGCGGACCGCGGGCTGACCCCCGCGGACCGCGTTTCGAGCTTCCCTGTTCGTTCGAAGCCTGCTCGTTCGAAGCCTGCTCGTTTGAAGCCTCCGCGACCTTGCCTCTCCCGATAGCATTTCTCCTTTTTCCTTCCTCTTCCGCGAGCTCTTTCCCACCCAGCCGTGATCCTTCCTCTTCCGCGAGCACTTTCCCTGCAAGCCGTAACTGACCCGTCGCCCTCCCGTCGAAGCCGGAACCTCTCCTCGGGCTCTCGTCGAACGTGGATCTCGTCGTCTCGCACTCCTCGAAGTCGGATCTGCTACCCTAGCTCCCGTCGCAACCGGATCTTCCCCCTCTCGTTCTCCTCGAAACCGGATCTTCTCCTCTAGCTGCCGTCGGAGCGAAATCTTGTACTCTCGCTACCGTCAAAGCAAGATCTTCTCGTCTCCCTACCGTCAAAGCCGGTTCTTCACCGTTCGAAGCCATATCTTCTCTGTCTGAAGCCAGATCTTGCGGATCTTCTCGCTCCCGTCAAAGGCAGTTCTCTCCGCAGCCAGTTCTTCCGGATTTTCTTCAACAGACCACAAGGTTGTCACAAAACTTATTTACAATCTAAGTTTATATATTTTTTTAAATTCAGAGGTTATATATGTTAAAGTTTCAATTTATCTTGAACATCAATTGAGCTTCTCTTATGTATTAGCAGACTTAAGTTTTTGGTTATTTGTGCTTTAACTGTTTCTGTTTTTAGGTTGTGGTTTACTGTATTGATTTGATCTCCTTAATGAAGTTGCTCTTGGATTATCATTTTGGTTTCTGGGCTTCATTTTTTGTTGCTTGCTACTGCTGCGTTAGTTTGGAGTACTTGATTTTTTGTTGCTAGCTGCTGCCTTGCTCAATTATTTTTTGGAATTGGATGTTTCTGAGCTCACATATAGAACTTATTTCATTTTTTTTTGACTTTGTTTGAGGGAAATTTATACAGATATTACATTTACAAATTGGCAGATTTTTTTTTGCTAGCTGCTGCCTAGCTGCTGCCTTGCTCAAATTTTTTGACTTTGTTTCTGAGCTCACATATAGATGTTTCTGAGCTAATCATATTGTTACAAATTGGCAGACAAAACTCTAAACTGTCATCTCTTTCCCACTTTCCTGTTGCATCTTAAATTTCTGCAACTCTAAAAGACATTTTCTGCAACTCTAAAAGACATTTTATGCATCTTAAATTTATGCAACTCATAACATAGTCTTGTTAAGTCCCATTGTCAAACATTAACAGAGACATCTTTGTTGAATTCACTCATCTCCTCCTTATGAGCACGTTTTATGAATCTATTTTCAAAATTTTAGCATATAAGTTTGAAACATGTGCTCCTATATTATTTATCTATTGATATTTAGCTTTAAAACTTTGGTGGATATTTAGTTCTTTAAAATAGAAAAATTAAAAATGATTTTAATTCTTCAATTACTTGTTATTTTCCGTCACTTTTGCTTTCACTCTAATTTCAACAATGACACTTAAAGACTACAAGTCAAGAATAGAAGAAATCATCCCTCAAGAACATGTTAGATAAATAAACCTTTATGAGAAATAAATATTATTTAGGAAGATTTACAAACGTATCACTCAATTTTTATATGGTGTATTTCACATTTTAAACGTACAATAGCGGTATGAAACATTGTTCTTTTTGTTTTATGATTTTTATTGTCATGAAAAGAAACATTTTATGCCCATCCATATATCTGACAGAACTCAATGAGTAAAGCTAGAGAGGCTGGAACATCGGCCATGTGGGATAGAGAAGTTACTATAATCTTTTGTGATTTATGTGTAAGGGAGGTTGAGGTGGGAAATAGACCCACTACATTTTTTAACAAAGAAGGGTGGCGAAATATTGAAGTTAAATTCAAAGAAATGACTGGAAGAGATTACGATCGCATGAAAATGAAGAACAAATGGGATCAGTTAAAGAAGGATTGGAAACTATGGAAAGAACTAAAACAGGGATCAACAGGAATGGGCTGGGATCCTGTTAAGCGCACAATAGATGCACCAGAGGAATGGTGGGCTGAAAAACTACAGGTCTATAATTTAATCTTTTTACTTTCTCTTTAATCTAATTTCGCATTGACCTGACACTACTTTATTAATGCACATTTGTTATTTATAACAGGCAGTGCCGTCAGCCAAAAAATTTAAATTCGTTGGCATTGATCCAGTAATGGAGGAAAATCTAGATAGAATGTTCACTGGGGTTGTCGCTACAGGCTCTCATGCGTTTACCCCAAATGATATAGGGTTGAGCAGCTCAGTTCAAGAGATGGATACCGTACAGATAGGTGATTCAGGAGACCGCCCTAGCCATGTGCACACAGATGTTCAATCCACAAGTGTGTCCAAGCGTCCCAGGGTAGAGAAGAAGAACAAAGGGGTTGCTTTTATTAAAGGGACTATCGATGCACTAGTTGAAACATGTAAAGCTCGGTCTTCTTCTTCGCAGGACAGCTCAATTGATGAGTGTCTTCAGGTCTTGAATACATACTCTGATGTTAAGGCAGACGATGATGACTACATTCAATACGTGAAGGTGTTGCGAGACCCAACCATCAGACAGTTTTTTATGAAGTTGGAACCGAAATACCGTGTGAAATACTTGCGATCTTTTATGGACGTCTGAATATTTGAGTTATTAATGCACTTTCTTTTCTAATCTTCTATGTTATGTTTATGTTAAGCACAATTTTTTAATCTCCGTTGTTTATGTTTTGGACAATTGACCTTTATATGTGATTGTTCTTTATGTGTGTCCAATTTTATTATGTATTGTTTTTATTTTGCCCAAAGTTCATGTGTTTTATTTATCTTTCATAGCATACTTCTGTTTTCATTACTAAAGTTAATTTATTTAATTTTTAATAATTTTGTAGTATGGATGAAGAAGATATCCACCACATTCGCACAGTCGCGTTTACCTTGACCTTATTGTATTATTACCATCTCAAATACGTTGACCGAAACCCATGTATGACTTCAACTCAAGTAGGAGACAGATGGGTTGGTGAGTTATTACGGGGCCATCCAGCACGGTTCTTTAATATGTTTCGTATGACACAAGAAATATTTCATGATCTCCTAGATGAACTCCGGATCAATCATGGCTTTCATGGCTCTGCCAGAACAACCCCAAGGGAAGTGCTTGGAATAACTGTATATATCTTAGCTCAAAATGAATCAATTAGAGGTGCTATGGAGCGTTTCCAACATTCATCTGAAACCATTAGCCGATATTTCTCAGTCGGTTTGAACTCACTTGTTAGTTTGGCCCAGAAGGTAATAAAGCCTGAGGATCCAACGTTCAATTCAATTCCTTTACAAATTGCAAATGACCCCCGGTACATGCCATTTTTTAAGGTCTGTCTTTTACCATTACACTCATCCTTCTACTTTTATTATATTTCAGCTTATAAAAAATTATATTTGTAATTCCAGGATTGCATTGGAGCTATTGATGGAACACACGTCGATGCACGATTAAATAGTGAAGAAAGAGTTGCGTACATAGGCCGATGCGGCGCCCCAACACAAAATGTTATGGCCGTATGTGATTTTAATATGTGCTTTACCTTTGTCATGGCTGGATGGGAAGGAAGCGCTCACGATAGTCGTGTTTTCAAGTTCGCTACCAGAAACTTGAGACATGGATTTCCAT